GCGCACCGATCAACTGAGGACCGTTTGACGAGTTGATTAGAATCAACTAAAGGCCAAACCTATCCTCCCATTAGGTTGTGGTGTTCAGACGAACTTCACCAACGGTACTCTACATCGTCTCGGAGTGGGCAAAAATTTTAAAAGGTAAACATCCATATCCTAACTATAGATTCCACTGCGTTAGGATTTATTTCGATAAAGTTCAATACTGTGCATGTTGTTTGACGTTCCTAACCGAAACCAACAGTATCTACACACCAGGTTCTGGTAGATAACACTGCTAAACATGTTTCAGCGAATAATGAAAAAGATTTACCTTTGTCGCCCTTCTTCAGGAGATGGCAGTCGACCTTCAGTGTCTTCTCTGCTGGCATCTGTGGCATTTTCCTTTCAGATTCTTTGCTACCTTCTGAGTTTGCACGTCATTCATGATTGATTTGCCCTTTCCTGCGGACGTTTTCCTCTTCTTATCCTTGTCGGGACTAGAAGAAGATCCCTCGCCTAGCTGGGCCACCATGGCTTGAGGCTTCTGACTAAATAGGTTTTTTGTCGACTGAAGTTCTGGCAGAAGTCCTGGAAGAGTCAACATCATCTTGTTCATGTTGTAGTTCAATCGGAACTGCTCAAAACGCTTCGCCAAAGATTGGAGTACTATATCTACCTGCGTCTCCTTGTCAATAAAACCTCCAAGAACCTCCAGCTCATTCAGGTGTGCCATCATTGCAAGAACATGTTCCCTTACGGGAGTGCCCTCACGCATTGTCATAGTCATCAGAGTCCTCATGGCTTCTTTTCGGGCAGCCCGAGACTGATGGCGAAATAGTTTCTTGAGATTGTTGAGCATATTTGCTACTGTGTCCATACACTGATGCTGATGTTGAAGCACATTCGACAAAGATGGCAAGATGTGACACTTCACCATCTCATTAGCCTTTTCCACTTAGCATACTCTTCTTTCTCTTGATCTGTTGAGCTCTCTCCCGGTTGTTTCAAACATTACTCAATAGTAGAAAATTTATACCCCTCAACAGTTAACACAATATCCAAGTTCCTTTCCAGTCAATATAAAGATTTGTTTTCTTTAATAATTACGGACAACAGATCGAAAGACATTTTGAATTCCTGGGATCATGCAAACATAGTTTGACTCAGTCAAGTGTTTCGAATTTAAACATCAAATAAATTTACCGACGCCTCAAAACACCGAATCCCCATAGGCCACTTTGGTGGACGTCTACGATTCATACCGTCAAGAGAAGGGACTAATGCCATTAATTAACATACCTCCTAAACAGTACTTAATTAATAGTCGGTCCAGCTTTTGGCCAGCGCAAAATAAAAACAACCTTTTCCTTTGGAAACATCGTAATTATTTGCACTTTAACTGTAACACCTTAATTGGTCCTAAGTTTACTACCAAAATTATACGTCTACCTTTGGTGACCCGTAGGCTTTTGAAATAGCTCACTATAACCTTCCCGCAGGAAATTCGTCCTTATGAACTTGTGAATAAAACATCCTTTGGGCTCGATTTATTCACTTCATTAACAAATCTATAAGGTCGTGGATATAATTTATTTCAATCCCTTCACACTTAATATTGTAAATTAAGGGATTTTCCTAAATATGCTCTTAAGCAAAAAAATCACATAAAAACATGCATGATTAAATGACAATAATATACAAGGAATAAATAATCCAACTATCATGGCCATTTAATCAATCTCCAAGATTTTCGGACAAACACAATCTTTATCCTTGTCGAACTGCGTCTTCCTTTTCAGGAGTTGGACATCCTCTTCGTCATGGCCCCCACTTCTTGTCTTGAACAAGTCGTCTCTGGGAATCTTGCCATTTGATTTGGTCTGCGTGTTTTTCGCCTCGCCTCATTGAGGTTGGTACACATCCTCCGGATCAACAATGAATAATATAAAACAATTACGTAATTCATCCTATGACCATCACAGGAGCCGTACATGAGTTGTCTATAAAAGCAATAAGAGGAAATAGCTATTTTCACCCCGTTCTGAAGTCACACTAAGTTTTTCACA